TCCTCTACCCCATTTTCTCCTTCGTCTTCCTTGCCCTGCCTCCTCCCTCTCTATTAGCCCTTAAAAGCCTCTCCCTTCCAACATGTCCCAGTTCTGATGAAGAGTCGTGGACTCGAAACGTTGACTCACTTTCCTTTCTCCATAAATGCTGCCTGATCTTCTGAGTGTTCCCAAGAACTTCTGTTTTTGTTTCAGATTTCCATTATCTGCACTATTTTGCGTTCAGCAAAATAAAATGCTTGTGAAAGGCCTAATATACCAACACAATTCTATGGGGAAACCAAGGAATTACTGTCCTAATAGAACAGGAAAGGAAAAGATCAAAGAAAGGCCACGGCCACCATTTGTAAATTTAAACACATTGAAGATACCAGGGCTGTGTGTTGTCACCTCGGTTAGACACTGCCTCTGATTGAGAGGGCGAGTCCGACAGTGTACAGGTCACTGTTCACTCAGTCACTGAGCACATCCCAGAGACTACATTGTGATCGATAAGACTCCCCCAGTGAAGAGAGAGCACCAGATTGTTATGATGCATGAGACCTAATGTCAATGCTATATTAAGGCATGTGAAATAAATCTCTTTTTTCCCCCTTTAAAGCTCATTGCCTACTGTTGACTGAAAGAAAGTGATTTTTTTAAAAGAGGAATCTACGAGTAAACTGTTGAGCATTTTAGAGAAGTGAAACCATACAGAGCAGGAAGGTCCCAGGTTTAATCCTCAGTCTGAAGTAATGGAGTTGGTCACATTAGGTCACAAACTCAACTTCAAGATCCTCACTGTAGTGTTTAAATCCCCCCCACGCCTTGGCAATCCTCTATCTCTCCAAACTCCTCTCTCCTACTCACAACTACTCACTGCCTCCGCTTTACTGGCTCCGGCCTCCTCCTTGTCCCTCGAATCCTCCGCTCCAATATCGGCGGCCGTGCCTTCAGCCACTAAGCTCTGAAGCTATGGAACACCCTCCTTCAATCCCTCTCAGTTAAGCAATCTGGGATGCCACCTGGCGTGGAGGGTGCTATATAAATGCAAGCTGCTGTTGTTGTTAGGGCAGCAACAGAGGGCAATACAATTAACCTAATTGTTCCCAGGGAGGCAGAGAAAATCAGCAGCACGGTTCCTCACTTCCAGCCGCAGTCATAGGTCAACTGCTGGAAAGTGCGTGTATGTTGCCGCTCTCTCTGCTCAACAAACAGTGGCTTGGCCCCAATCCACCCCATTATTGGGGGTGAGCGTCAAGGCATTTTGCCCCTGCTCTGGAACTCAATCGCAGCTTCGCCCTCTCCCTCACTCAAAACCCACCTTAAAGAACCTTTTCAACGTCTTTTGGCCATCTCTGTTCCTCTCCCCCTTCAACTCCGACTTCCAGGTAATGAACCTATGTGAAGAATTTCTTGATGCTGTGATGGGTGGGTATTCTGGAAATATGAATCAAATAGGCCAAAGGGCCTTCTCCACTCAAACTTCTTTTGTGATGCTGACGCCCTCTCCCCTGGCTCTTACACTGCTTTTGCCCTGTGTGGCTGCAATTGGGATTTTTCCATGGTGGGGGGGAGGGGGGAAAGAAAGATACAAATAACAGGTACAAACAAAGGTCCCAAAGAGAAAGCACCTGACAAGCAGAATCTTTAAGGGATAAAGCGAACAAGTTGGAAAGCATGAGTGGACAATTTAGTAACATAGGCAGCAGTGGTGCAGACACGGTGGGCCAGTTGGCTTCCTCTGTGTTGAAAATGTCAGTTTTTAAAAAGAAAACGTCATCTGGGCAGCTGAGAAATATCACACAGTACACACTGTGTGCACTATTCCCTTCAATAAAGCAAGAACGCCAGGTGTATATTGACCTGTTAGTATGGACCATAAAACAAGGAGGGAGAAAGTCATCAGCGGTAAATGGTCCATTGCAAGATCCAAACACCCACGATCATTGAGCAGACCTCAGGTGGAATTGGACAACCCTTGGCTCCAGGTGTCTGGTTCCACATTGATGGTTACAGGCATGGCAGAGCACATTAAGATTCATAGTTACTTGCACATTTCAAAAATAGAAAAGCTAATTTTGTTTTTAAGCTGACCTTCCCTTATATATGAAGCATATTTTATTAAGCCACCTAAGGCAATCTGCAGGGAGATTTATGTAATTATACAAACAAGACTGCGGACTGAGAACAGGTTGTCAGACTGAGTGAGCAGTGCGGGCTGCTCATAGTATAATACTAAGTGCACAGTGCTATATTGTACAGTCACAAGGGAGGTCAAGGCTGTAGCAAGGCAAGGACTCCGAGTGAGATCAGCCCTTCAGATTCTATTAGCTTATGGAGCCGCAAGCTGAGCTCAACCATCCATAAACTGGGACAGCTTCCAGGATCTGTCGCACTGCAACGGATTGGGAATGAGCTCCAGGTGAATTTCCTAATTTAATTCCACATTTCCTAATGGAACTGTAAAGACTAGGGAGGTCTTCTGTTCGATTCTATATTGAATTCTCGGATCAATGGGGCAACAGTCAGAGTATCGTGATTCATATTAGTGCCCAAGGGAGGGGGAAAGAGACATCAGCCAGGGAGTCTGCTTCAGATTGATATCCTGTCAGCCGGGCTCAGTTGGTAAGCATTCTTACCTGAGTAAGAAGTTTTTGAGATCAAGCCCCACATTGGGCCTTTGAACTTGGATAGTCTGCACTTCAATGCAGTCCGGGGGGGACCATTGTATAGAACAAGCTTCCTTCCTTCAAATGAGATGTTAAACTGAAGTCCCATCTGCCTGTTCAGTTGAAAGTTAAAAATTCCCATAGTACTATTTGAAAAGTGAAGGGAGTTTTCCTAGGTAACAATCCACCAAATAAAATAAGTCATTCATTTCATGGTTGTGTGTGGGACATTTCTGTGGCCAAATTGGCTGCTATGTTCAACTACAAAATAGTCACTGTACTTTACAGTAAATCCAATGAAGCGCATTGACATATGCAGAAGCAGTACAATTCCCATCGGTATCATAAAAGGCTACCTTTAGCAGAATAGCAGGCCTGTGCTGCTGAAAATCAAATCTTTTTATTGCCAAATTTTTATACTCTATTGAACACTCTTACTCTTTGTTGAGGGACGATCCCACAGGAATCCAGAGTGTGGATACTATCTCATTATTACCCAACTCCACAGGTTGCTAAACCGTTTCCTTAGGACTCAGAAATAAAAACAGAAGTCGTTGGGAACACTCAGCAGGTCAGGCAGCATTTATGGAGAAAGGAAAGTGAGTCATTGTTTCACTTTCTGACGTTTCACCGTTCTGACGAAGGGTTGTGGACCTGAAACGTTGACTCACTTTCCTTTCTCCATAGGTGCTGCCTGACCTGCTGAGTGTTCCCAACGACTTCTGTTTTTGTTCCAGATTTCCAGCATCCGCCGTATTTTGCTTTCCTCAGGACTCAGGTTTGGAGAGTGTTGGTGGGAAGATGCTACCACATTCTGGAGACTCAGTGTTTCATATAACAGCAATGGCACTCTGGCACTAGCGCTGTTCAGCCAGGTCATTGTGAGGAGCTCGCAAGCCAGAGATAGCAAGTGAGGAAGAGACATTGAAAGAGAGAACTGAAAGTAAATCTACCATTTAGAAAAATGGTTCCCTTTCCAGGTTTCGCCTGATGGGAGACCCAGAAAGGCACAAAAGCTTGTGCGTAATGTGGGATCTCACTAGATCAGGGGTAAGAGGTCAAGGGGAGGGGGAAATCTAAACCTCGTACATTCACTATTGAAAAACAACACGTTAGAGACACATCAAACGAGGAGTAAAATGTCTGCTTTACCCATTATTGAAACAGGACTATTCAGATCACTGTGCGTTGACAGGGACTGTGGAGTGAACGTGGCTGATAAAGGACTTTGGCAAATAGGAGAGAAAAAACAAATACGGGCCTGGTTTCTCACACCCTTTGTCTGCCAATCATAGATCGGTCTGCTCAGAAGACCAAAGGTCAACGGCAACAAAGAAGCCGGGCAGATTCTCCCAGCGGCTGAGAGTGCAAGCCCGCCTCGCTCTTTGTTTATCCAGCTAACTCAATTTAAAATGCTCGCTGCCTTGGTTCACCTCTAACGCATTGCTTCTCATACGTCCATTCATCAAGAAGTGACTAGAGCCAGCTCTACTTTCCGATCAACCTTCCAACATAATTCCCCTTGGCTATTTGAAATCCTGTCAGAAACGAATAGATAATCCCCTTTATCAACAGCTTGACATCTGCACCAGATTCTAGATCTGCCACCTGGTTTTAGACCGGCACATTCTGGAAAAATTCTGAATTGTTTAAACCGGACACAGAAAGTCAAAGGCCTCAACATTTTCTCATGGTTATAGCTTTGAGACCGTCCTCTTAAAATTTAGGATTGTGCAGAATGTTTTTAGAAAATATTCATTCTTAATTTGGAAAACGATTTTCTGCATCCCAAACAAGAATGAATTTAATAATTTTCCAAATTCTATACTTTTCAAAATTAAAAATGTGAAAAGAGAAAGGAGCTTCTCCAAGTGTCCTGATGGGAAACCTTCCAATAATGTGGAACTCTCGGTAGTTTGGTTTGAAGATTCTTCAGCTTGGGTGATGGATTTTCATGTGTGTCTAATATTCAGCTGACCAAAAAAAGGTCTGAACTTCCACCCAGTCTTAGCTTGTAATACCATTTGTCTTAACATTTAAGATGGCGCAGAATAATGGGAAAATCTTAAATTGCAGCTTGGAAAACAGTTTTTTTTAAAGATTAAGACCGAATATAAAATTTTCCACAAAATTTCTTGCCGTCTTAAAAGTTCAATGGTTTTATGGGCTAGGATGAGGTGGAATATCAGACTGATTATGTGATGCAGAGGCCTTAAGAAGACTTAATATAAATAATCCTTGCATTTGATATAGTGCCTTATCATGTCTTCGAGGCGTCTCAAAGCGCTTCACGGAATATACTGTAAAGTGGATTGGCTGTGTATTTTGTGGGTGAAAGTCACCACATACCTCTGCATGCCTTTCTGTGGGTGATCGGTTTGGTCAGGTCCCGGTAAAAGCCCTCTTTACAGTAGTGGCAGTGGCGTCCTGCAGTGTTGTGCCGACAGTTGAGGCAAACTCCTCCACTCTTGCGGCCTGAGAGTTTGTAGAGCTCCATGTTGAAGCGGCATCGCCTAGCATGGAGGTTGCAGCTGCAAGCTGTGTAGAAAGAAATATATTTAATAAGGTGCAGGAAAACTTTTCGATACAAATCAAATGAATTAACATTAAAAAAACCAAAGGGAATTAAGAGTCGATTTGTGCTGTGAATCAACAGACAAGCAGGTTGCCCATCCAAATTCATTTCACACAAGACTCTTACAACAGCGCGAGTGATTCACACTTCTGGAGTCGAACCACCCAAAAGTACCAGGTCAGTGTCACCTTGTACCATTGTGGTCACTTTCCAGTCTCGAGTAGCTGATCACAGTCCCATTCCCAGACTGACCATTTAAATTTGACTTTAGACTAAGATGCAAGCAGAGGTCGATACAGAAGGCAGGGAGGTTTCACCAGTGTTAAATGCTGTTTTGCACAAGAATTTCCTGACATTATTCTCAATAGCAAAGAGCAGTTCGCTGAACAGGTTTTCCTGAATACTCTACTTCCAGGTGCTGCTCTTTAGTTTAAACATAAACATTGACCTGCAGGTAATTGCTAACGTGAAGTGACAGTAATCCTACCACGAATGTGTCCAAAGTAAGAACATTGTGTTTACAATTGAAAGCAACAGCTCAGCGGGTAAAGGCACTGCCCAGTAAGGAACACCCATGCAGATCAGGCAAATTCCCAGCTTTGATCCCTGCTCTGTGCTGATTTAGCTGATCTCAGTGGGAGGTGTTGGCGGTTGGAGTGGGGGGTGGGGTGTTGCTACAGTTGACCTCAACACCCTTTGGTTGGAAAGGGGAAACATTCTCCCAATCTGTCAGGTGAAACAAACCCAGATAGCTATTGCCCTCTCTCCCTACCCCAGCACTGCCCAAACATTTACAATTCTTTATTAAGAACATACTACTAAGATGTTCTGCTCAATAGTTCAGCTGGTAACGCCACTGATTAGGTCAGACCAGAGTCATGGGAGGTTCCATCTGAGTCTGTGCAGTTAGCGGAACTTACCTGTGGCAGCAGTGACTAAGTCACAATTGACTGTCGCGGCCTTCCCTCACCTCCAAGATAAGGTGTAAATCAAAACGAACCAGGGCTCACATTCCTGAGCACTCTTGAGCGACTTAGGCCGGAAAGTGCATTTATAGAGGTCAAGTAAGGATTGGATCAGGTTTGGTGGTTATACCTTCGCCCCCTCTCCTCCTCCCGTCCTCTGCTCCCCTAACCTTTCTCTCCCCCCCTCTCCTACCCTCACCTCTCCCTACTCTTTCTCTCCTCCCCCCACATTTCTCTCTCCCTCTCCTCCCCCCCCCCACTTTCTCTCCCCCTCATTTTTCCTCTCCTCCCCCCCACCTCTCCTCTACGCCCTCTCACCCCCCCACTTCTCCCACCCTCTCCCCTTCTGCTGTCAAGCAACCTGGGGTTAAAAATATATCTCAAATTTGAAGAAAATTTAAACCTGTGGCAAAAAACATACTCCAGTTTCAAGAGCTTGTTGGACCTAGATAAAGAATTTAAAATCTTTTGTCCTTGGACAATATATTATTGCATAAACACTGATTATAATCAGTGTTTATGCTGTATGTTTAATTTAAGATGGTGACTATTATTTTTGGATATTGTTCTGTATTTTGAGAAAAGCGATTCTCCTACAGTATCAGTTTGTCTCTGGTGGTGAAAGCTGATGCGGGTTCCTCTAATCACCCCTGACCCCGAGGGTGGAATAACTTGATGTGGTGGGGCTCAGTCAGCCACGGCTTTGCGTATTTCATCTGAAGCAAAGAGTTGCCTCGGCTGACTTAGAAACATCTCCATTGTCCCCATAACCTTTTTTTCTTGTCCCAGAATTTACCTCCCCTTTGCTCCTCGGTGTGCTGATTCACGGATGATATATCATTCCATGGGCGTCAGCTACCTGGGGCTAAGTAAGCGATCTTTGTGTGTGATCTCAGAATGAGTTTCCGCAGGTTACGTGACCATTGCGGGCACCACATATGAACCCAATTCTCGACTTGGGATGGTTTGGGTGTGGGTGGGGGGGTGGAAAGAGAAAAATTAAGACACGTTTTGTTATGTTTGTCAACAGAGAAGATTATACAGTAAAACCGCACGAGTCAGTCGGAATGGCCCAAAGTTTGTTTTTTCTTTCTCCTCTCTTAGCCCCAGTGTGTTGGGGTGCGCATATGGGGTGTTCCATTTGAGGCAGGTGCAGGAAACTAAATTTTGACACAGTAGCTGGTAAATTAAGTAGCGGCAAGTACGGTAGCAGTGTTAATAGTTAAGCGGTTGTTAGCACGACTAAATTTAAGTGGATTCAATATGACTTTGAACAGGACTTGGGCAGATGTACGACTTAGGCGATTATATGTTTTATACAGGGCAGACTTATGCAAGTTTTACTGTATTTCTCTCTCCACAGCTTTCCGGTGTTTCTCCGTATTGTTTAAAACCACATATGCCATTGCTCACTTAAACATTCCTCTCTTGTTCCTCCCAAACGCCATACGATCCTGCACACTCTGCTACAGCTTTGCAAGGGTTAATACAATAGTATATAATAAAAGCTCTCCAGCCTGACAAAATGCGAATCAAATGTGCATACTCTGGGCGGACATAGGGTCATTTCCTGCAGGCTATCCTGTGGGATAACACTTACACTGTTCACTGGCTCTAATCCAGTACAGACGGTCCTTTGGCTTGTGACTGAAGGTATCAGAGATTCAGTCTCTTTGCAAAGCTAAGTTGGTGGTATGTTGTATTGTGTATCCTCTTCCACCTCCCATTGTGTGTGTGTGTGTGTGTGTGTGTGTGTGTGTGGAGGGAACCCTCTCACTCAAACAGCATTGTGTACAGTGTTTGGAAGGAAATTGAAGGAGGAAAATTCTCAGTTTCTCCTCATCCTTGAAATTACGTTTTTATTTTCTCTCTCTCCCTCTCTTCCCCCGCCCCCTGTTGCATAACTATTTCAGGGGAAAAAAAAGGGTAAAATAATGTCATTCTGATGGTGTAATAAAAAGGAATGTGGATGGTGCAAGTTTTCCCCTCGGGTGAAGAATACAAGCTTGCGGTGGATGGAGTCTCTGCTGCAGTGAAATCAGGCAATGGTTTGCTTCGGCAGCCAAAGGTTTTAAATCAGGGGTCTACCAATATCAAACAGTTAAAGTGGATGGGTTAGCCGTGGATTCAGATCATTCGTCTGTTGTGCTGCACATCTGTTCGGCACTGGGTTGAAGGAGTGTGTTTGGGAACCCCCTCGGTGTCTCCAAATATACGTCCCATCTGGAACTGAGCGGGGAATCGTGGTACCTCCCAAAGTGCTGGGAAAACACGTCCAGGACCTGAAGGGAAAAGTGATGCCCTTGGCCTGCCTGATCGAGAGGAATTCCCATCGCCTGGGAGCACGAATTTGGAGAACTGGTGGAAATTGGAGGCAATAGACAACAGTATCACAAGCCAAACTCGCTCTGAACACACAAATACTCCTCAAATTTGGTGTAGGTTTACTGAGAGCACAAAGTTGTATAATTTGCCAGTCATTCCTGCTTAGGCTCCGCATGACCTAAAGGCAACCAGACGAGCCGCACTGAAACCCAATCTATTGGCGTAATCTGTTGAACAGATGTTGGTTTCGTCATTCAATGAAAAAAAACACATCATCATCATCTCTGACCTACTGGGCATGTGCAGTTTGGGTCAAAAGAACATGGACACGGAGGGAGTATTTCAACACAAGGTGTTGGGTCCTCGTTCAAAACTTAATCAGATCCAGATTTCTGTGAGGGAGACAAAAGACAGGGAGGAGTCCAAATGCTCTGCACTGCACTAGCCTGGGCAGCACAGAAGTAAGGGACAAAATCCTTATCAATGGAACTAATTGGTTTCTAGGTTTGAAGCTCAGAGGAACAGTAAGGACACTGGGTGGAATCTGAGGTGGCTGGCTGTAGGAATGGAAGGTGCTAGAAACAGATTCTGGGGGAGGAAGGAGCCTTTCTTCTCCCAGAGCTCATCATCCTCAAGACCACATTTCATCTTCAACAGAAGTTTTCAGTCCTATTTACACAGCCTCTGATGAAATTGCTCCACTTTAAAGGATGGGAGAATATTGCAGGGGAGGGGAAAACTAAAAAAAAGGGACTCGATCCAGAGTGAAGAATACTTGTTTAAACTTTCTCTCCCCTCTGTAAGCCCATTAAAACCAGAAGCTTTGAATTCAACTGTCCAGCGCCTTGGAACGTCCTCCCGACGTGAAAGGCACTCTATAAATGGAATCTTGTTGTTGTTGTTTTCAGTCCAGGCTGATACACCTGTGCAATGCTGTAGGACAGGTGAGACATGAAGATGAGGCCTTGTCTGCCTGCTTAGGCGGGCATTAAAGGTCTGATGGCACTATTCTAAAGAGTTTCTCTCAGTACCTGGCCAAAAAAACTCCATTTAAATTGATTATTCACCACATGCTTTTTTGTGGCCTGCTGTGTGCAAATTTTCTACCACGGTTTCGACAAACACTACACTTGCCAGCAATTTCATATGAAACACTTCAAAATATTTTGACATTCTAGACCCAATAGAAGGGTTCTTACTGTAACAACAACAACATGGATTTATATAGCGTCCTCCATGCCGGACGGTGTCTCAGAGCGCTTCACAGTAACGGATCCTGGGACTGAGCCGGGGGAGGGGGAGGAAGGTGACCAAAGGCGCGGTCGGAAAGAAAGGTCTTCAGCAGAGACCTGAAAATAGGAAGGGAGGCAGGGAGGCGAAGGGACTGAGGAAGCGAGTTCCAAAGGCTCGGAAATTACCTCTCTTCCTCCCAAAATTAAACACACAAACCCTGAGCAGACATGCAGACAACCTCCAACTGCTGTTCGTAAAAGAGCTGCTGGAAAATGCATCATTCTAGTTGATCTGCTCTATGAAAGAACATCTCACTCCACTCTCCATTCCCAGCCAGTCAACCAGATAAACCTACACCCATGTCAGAATGACCCAGTGAATACAACAGAGAAGCCACGTGTGTAAACTCAAACACAAACTAGCGCCGTAATTCAGGTGAA